TGTGAATGTGTTTTGACATGTGTGGTTTTGTGTGTGTTTGTGTGCGTGTGTGTGTGTGTGAGAGAGAGAGAGAGAAGTGTGTGTGTGTGTGTGAGAGAGAGAAAGAGATGTGTGTGTGTGTGTGTGTGTATGTGTGTGTGTGTGTATGTGTGCGTGTGTGTGTGTGTGATTTTGTGTGTTATTGTGTGTGTGTTTGTGTGTGTGTGTGAGAGAGAGAGAGAAGTGTGTGTGTGTGTGTGTGTGAGAGAGAGAGAAAGAGATGTGTGTGTGTGTGTGTGTGTATGTGTGTGTGTGTGTGTATGTGTTATTGTGTGTGTGTGATTTTGTGTGTTATTGTGTGTGTGTGTTTGTGTGTGTGTATTATTATTATTAGACACAATCTCATAGCATGTGACAAGCATAGCTAATGCAGGGACAGAATCCCCTGAGACAAGGGCGTTGAGCCAGCCACGGCAATAGTAAGCTAGGAAAACAAAGCAAATATGAATTAGAGCAGAAAATGAATGGAAAATTACAAAGAAAAACGATTAGCGGAAGTGAGCACTATCAAAATTCGTGCATCACCCAGGTATTCGAGAATGGTCTTCGATGATAATTATTGCGTCTAGTTCAGTTGTGATAGTAGATCTTTAAACTGACCAATAGAAGAACAAGTTTGTATAAAAATATAATATTATGTGTGTGTGTATGCGTGTATGTGATCATGTGCATGCACATGTGTATGTGCGTGTTTTTGCCGCATATTCAGTCCCACCCGTGGTCTCGGTCAATGACGTCACTGGAGTCGCCGGTGAACGGATTGAAATCGTGTGTCGCATCCGCAGCGATCCACCACCGGCGTCGAATCAAGTCGTTTTGGTAGTGAGCAGCGGTATTGTGGTGGGACCTTTTTTGGTTTCTGCTTTCAGTGGGCCGCCACGCACAACTATCTTTCGTTTCCAGATCCAGACGGCCGACCCAGCCCTTCATGCAGGCCCGGCAGTCTGCCGCACCAGAGTAACTCTTGATAGCGGAACAGAAGAGGTTAACGGTTCCTTCAACATCGCTGTTCTCGGTGAGCCTCTCTTAAAACTGTTCTTTACTTACATACCGTAGTGAGTAGCACCCAGAGAAAAGATCTATGTTCACATCGGGTTGTTAAAGGACTCATTCTATACTGTAGTGACTTGTATTAGAGCTTATCTCGTATAGAAGCCTGTTTTGAATAGAAGCCTGATTTTAAAGTTTCACTGTCGAGTCGAGAGATGGCCTGGTTTAAGTCTTGACATACATCGAAATACCTTGTTTGACACTGTGGGACCTGATTCTAAAGACCACCCTGCTTTTACGACTGCTTTTGCTTGCACCGTGGGGTGGTCTCTTAAACCAGGTTTTACTGTAAATAGAAATACCTTGTTTGAATAGACGTGTTATGTGAATAGTAGCCGGGAACTGACATCGGCTTCTACAGGAATAAGTCTGGCTTTAATACGCGACATAACATTAGTGACAGCTTCCAATCATGACATGCAAAGCAGCGGTGCAGCATCGCAGGCATGAATCGTGGACGTGGTGCCCCCTTAATACGCGACATTACAGTAGCTTTTATGTCCGTATTGTAATTTTAAGTTACCAATGTATCAAAGAAGTTGACAAATCCGTTGAACCCCGAACAACAGAGAGTGCTCAATGTCAGAGACAGAGCTTAGTACATAGCAGACTCAGCGGGAGACGTTCAGGTTGGTTGTAACTCTGAGTTTTGTGCCGCTAGGCAATGATCAGGCAACTGATACTCGGATCTGCCCAGCATTGCGCTGAGTCTGCTATGTACTAAGCTCTGTTTCTGAAATTGAGCACTCTCTGCAGCTCGGGGTTGAACGGATTTGTCCACGCTCCTGGCTCTACCCAGTCGAGCACTCTACCCCTACACTGCAAGCTAGCTATGGTCGCTTCAAGGCCAATACAACTGGGATATTCCCTGAAGACCATCCCTCTACCGTCACCCAAGCAGTACCAGAAATGTCTGATTGACAGGATTGAGCAAGTCATCAAGCGCATGAGGTGTTCCGCCTTGTTCTACCTCAATGGTGAGGAACGCGAAGAGCAGCAACCAGAACGCTTCGGCTTCAAGAGCTGGACATGTCCTCCGCAAGTCGATGGACAGAAGGCCTTTGAAGAGTACCTCATTCGTGTGGCCGAAACGGTCAGCTTCCGCTAAGCATCAGACAGCCTCCAAGACGCTATGAGAAAAGACACCAAAACGATCAAAATTTCTAATGACATCATCGTGAAAGCCGATAAAACCCAGAATTTGTACCAAGTAACAAAAGAGCCGCCCATCTGGCTGCGAGCTTGTACGTGACGTGATGTTTGGTGTCGTGGATGGTAAGAGAAAGCGTGGTCGTCTGAAGATTTCCTTTGCTGACAGTATTGTTTCGTGGACTGGTATATCTCTGCATGAGAATTGCCAGTTGGCATCTGACAGAGATGCCTGGCAGTCACACTGTGCATCTACTGCTTACACAGCTGCATAATGCCGTTTAATATTTTATTTATTATTTTTGAAAAGTATGAATGCCGCAGACATCACCACGCAACATGACAATTTGTTCAAGGTTTGGTTTTGTGTGTTTCCAAAATCGATTTTCACGTTGCGATCATCAGTGGAAATACGCAACTAAAGAGATCAAGGGAAAAACAAAGGTTAAAAATCCAAAGAAGTGTGACACATGACGGGTAACTTGTGGTAAGTATTACAAAAAGTGAGAACTAAAACTTTTTGTAATACTTACCACAAGTTACCCGTCATGTGTCACACTTCTTTGGATTTTTAACCTTTGTTTTTCCCTTGATCTCTTTAGTTGCGTATTTCCACTGATGATCGCAACGTGAAAATCGATTTTGGAAACACACAAAACCAAACCTTGAACAAATTGTCATGTTGCGTGGTGATGTCTGCGGCATTCATACTTTTCATTGCTATTATTAAACTTTTATCTCCAAGTAGATTATTTATTTATTATTTTACTATTATTATTTTTTTCGGCAACGCAGATGATGATGATGATGATGATGATGATGATGATGATGATGATGATGATGATGATGAACAAAAGAGCAATACAGCAAGCTGATGAGAGAGAATATCACCGAAAACTACCATGGCGAGGGAGATCGCTGAGGTTCTAGATCTTCAGAACAGGATGGACGTACTGGCTAAGTCAAAAGCATTTATCACACTGAAAGATCATAGAGATACCTAGGGGTGAATTGATTACACATTTCGGTTAACCTACCCTTGTATCGATTTGATTATCGATTTTGATATCGATTACTGCGTCCTAGAAATGTTCGGCTGCAGACAGTCAGTTTTTATTTTTACCTTTTTACTGTTAAACAGCCCTTCTAGACCGGAAAAAGTGCGGATAATCGGAAAAGGACAAAGTATATTGTGCATGTGTACATGCACTGTCCGTCTGCAATGTACGTAACTTTATCGTATCCTACTACATACAGTTAGTCATGTACATGACATCTTGTACAGGTTTTTAATTTTCAATTTTTTAATTTTTTAGAATCGTCTACTCGAAACAGACAGCGTAATCGAAATCGCTTCGTTGTAATGATTGATTAAACGGACAGCGGATATAATTGTTTCAGCCCTAAAGACAACTTTGAATTCGCTAGAGCATTGCCCTGCAGACTCATTAAATAGTAAGCCTCACTGGAGTATAAACCTCACTGGGGTATAACCCTCACTGGAGTATAAACCTCACTGGAGTATAAACCTCACTGGAGTATAAACCTTATGGGGGTTTCACCCTCACTGGAGTATAAACCTCACTGGGGTATAAACCTCACTGGAGTATAAACCTCACTGGGGTATAAACCTCACTGGAGTATAAACCTCACTGGGGTATAAACCTCACTGGAGTATAAACCTCACTGGGGTATAAACCTCACTGGAGTATAAACCTCACTGGGGTATAAACCTCTATGGTGTATAAACCTCACTGGAGTATAAACCTCACTGGGGTATAAACCTCACTGGAGTATAAACCTCACTGGAGTATAAATCTCACTGGAGTATAAACCTCACTGGAGTATAAACCTCACTGGGGTATAAACCTCACTGGAGTATAAACCTCACTGGGGTATAAACCTCACTGGAGTATAAACCTCACTGGAGTATAAACCTCACTGGAGTATAAACCTCACTGGAGTATAAACCTCACTGGGGTATAAACCTCACTGGAGTATAAACCTCACTGGAGTATAAACCTCACTGGAGTATAAACCTCACTGGAGTATAAACCTCACTGGGGTATAAACCTCACTGGAGTCTAAACCTCACTGGAGTATAAACCTCACTGGAGTATAAACCTCACTGGAGTATAAACCTCACTGCAGTATAAACCTCACTGGGGTATAAACCTCACTGGAGTATACACCTCACTGGAGTATAAACCTCACTGGAGTATAAACCTCACTGGAGTATAAACCTCACTGGAGTATAAACCTCACGGCAGTATAAACCTCACTGGGGTATAAACCTCACTGGAGTATACACCTCACTGGAGTATAAACCTCACTGGAGTATAAACCTCACTGGAGTATAAACCTGACTGCAGTATAAACCTCACTGGGGTATAAACCTCACTGGAGTATGCACCTCACTGGAGTATAAACCTCACTGGGGTATAAACCTCACTGGAGTATAAACCTCACTGGAGTATAAACCTCACTGGAGTATAAACCTCACTGGGGTATAAACCTCACTGGAGTATAAACCTCACTGGGGTATAAACCTCACTGGAGTATAAACCTCACTGGAGTATAAACCTCACTGGAGTATAAACCTCACTGGAGTATAAACCTCACTGGAGTGTAAACCTCACTGGAGTATCATATTTATCACCGTTAATTTGATCAATGGAGTATAAGACCCCCCCCCCCCCACACACACACACACTAAGAATGGACATCGAACTCATCGTATATCTTGTTTGTCCTCTGCAGTTATGCCCGTGGTTCGAATAACCCCACCCACCCAGACTGTTCTGAATGGGACTATTTCAGAACTAGTGTGCGACACCACAGCTGGTACACCACCATTCCTCTTCTCATGGTTCTTGTCCTCAACCGAGATCACGGTGGGCGTCACGAGCAACGCTACGACGTCCACACTGCTGGTTGATACGGCCGTGATGCAGACTAGGTCCCGTTCCTACACATGTAGGGTGACGCTGGATCAACCACTCCCGGCCAATCAGCTTTCTGGAACGGACGTCGGCACTCTGCTGACGGACTGTGAGTTGTCATGCCATGATGACATGCAGCACGGTGGTTTGTTATGCTATCAGCTGTATTGTGGTCATCTGTACAAACAGACCTTGCACAGCCACGCAAATCCGTTTTCCACGAAAAATATCCGGATAGGCGAGGCAACCGGATAATCGAACACACCTACATGCACTGTATGTATGCATGTCACGTGCTGTAAATCGGTAACCAACGATTTTCTTCGGGTTGGCGAGGGATCCGGATAAAAGAGGACCGGATAAGCAAGGTCTGACTGTACCACAGTAGTGCTACAGAGGTTATGCGAATGATGCACACAACTGCAGTAACAATAGCCCGTACATGTAACCCCAAACCAACCCGGGACTACCATATTCACCCATTTTAACACTGGCTCATTGATCCTTGAGCCGCGGTGATGTTCCCATGGTTTCGGAAAATTCGTCACATTTTGATGATTGATATCAAGTACACAAGTGCTGGTTTTCGCTGGCCGGGGCTCATATATATATGCATGTGTGTATGTATGTGTGCATGCACGCGTGTATGTGCACACGTGTGTGTGTGTGTGTTTCTGCTCCACGTTCAGTCCCACCCGTGGTCTCGGTCAATGACGTCACTGGAGTCGCCGGTGAACGGATTGAAATCGTGTGTCGCATCCGCAGCGATCCACCACCGGCGTCGAATCAAGTCGTTGTGGTACTGAGCAGTGGTATGGTCGTGGGACCTTTTTCGATTTCCGTTGTCAGTGGGGCGCCACCGACTACTACCTTTCGTTTCCAGATCCAGACGGCCGACCCAGCCCTTCATGCAGGCCCGGCAGTCTGCCGCACCAGAGTAACTCTTGACAGCAGAACAGTAGAGGTTAACGGTTCCTTCAACATCGCTGTTGGTAAGTACCAACCAGAGAAAAACTATAATTATGTGCAGGGCGGCGGACACGGTACGGTCACTACGGTATTGACCATACCACTTTTTGCCCCAGGTACACCGTGAATCGATAAAATACACTGATCTGGGATCTAAATTTCCAAAATTTTCGGCTCAGCTGCCACTCCCCCACGAGTAAATTGTACTTCAGATAGCTGACCGTACCACACTAAAATACCTTCCGACGCCCCTGATGTGTATATCAGGGTGTTAAAAACTCATTGCACTCCGTAGTGACTTGTATTAGAGCCTATCTCATAAAGAAGTCTGTTTTGAATAGAAGCTTGATTTTCAAGTTTCACTGTCGGCAGATGGCGGCTGATTATAGTGTTGGTGTACGTAGAAATACCTGGTTTGAATGGAAGCTTGATGTGAATAGAAGTCTAGCCTGCACATCGGCTTCTACAGGAATAAGTCTGGCTTTAATATGTATGATTGACTGTGTGGATTCGGATGATACAGTTTCTCTTGCTTTCATGGTTTTGCCCTTCAGATGTTCTGTTACTGGATGGAAGTGGCACGGTGTTCCGAACAATGTACCGCGAGAACCAGCTTGCTCCCACCATTCTCTCACTGCAGCATTCAGCCTCTCTGGTTGGAGAGTCAGCCGCCTGCCAGGCGTCCATAGAGCTAACAGCGTACGTAGCTGTGTGCACGGTTTGTTGTGCATCGGTGTGTTTGTGTGAGGATGTGTGTGTGTGTGTGTGTGTGTGTGTGTGTGTGTGTGTGTGTGTGTGTGTGTGTGTGTGTATGTGTGCGCGCGATGTGTGTTCTTGTGTGTATCTGATTTGGTGAGTCAGTTGCCAGCCAGACGTCCACAGGGCTAAAGTTGTACATAATGCTCTGAACTTGTGCATGCGTGTGCGTGTCCTGTCATGTTGGTCTGTAGAATGATTTGACCCCAGTCACATCAAGGCGCACACTTAACCTGACTGGCGCAATCAGTTGTTTGACTGGTCCAGCTGCAACACAGGCAGTGATACGGTCGTGTATGATGTGGCGAGTAAACACAAGCCTCTTACCAGCTAACACCCGTCGCTGTGCGGAGACTTGGTCCGGCTATGGCCTAACCAATCGCACTGGTTCCACCGGCTCTGTTTCGCAGTCAGTGAATACACCGGAGGAAAGCATGACACGAACCTAAAACTGGGCAAGGAACTTGTTATCCGATGCGACTAAAATTCCACCGCAAACAATAAGATTATTAGCACGTTTCTTCAACTGTATATGAAACTGCAGTTTCAAATACAGCTAAGAGTAGAGACCACACACTGCACTTGTAACAGATCGAAGTTGATATTTGAAGAAAGAGGCTGAGCAGGATACTGCACAGCGCTTGCATATCAGATAGATGTGAATATTGTGAGAAGGAAGGTGAGACGATCAGAAGGTAAAAAAAAAGGAAGGTAAATGGGTGAGAACTGTGACAGCACTAATTCAACTCATTATAATATTACAACGTTTCGGCAAACTGCCTTCACCAGATACAGACATTGTATATTTATTTTTTACTTTCTTTCTCACTCCTGTGTGCAGCCACACCATACGTGCCCCCACCCCTAACGCACCTCAGTCACATGCACAGTCACGCGCACACCCACATGCACACGCACACAGCAACAACAAACAACCTCTGCGGGGACAGCAGCAACAGCAAGCAAGTGTATTGTTAACTCACGGCGACAATAGTAAACAGCTTTAAAAAAGCAACTCAACTAGATCATCGAAATTAATGCAGTCTGCAATCTGAGCACACCGCCAGCGGTGTGCTACGGAAATATCCAAACGACTCAACAAAATAACCATTCACTAGGGCGGGCGGGCATGGGCACTACACTTGCAAAGCAAGAAGAAAAAGAACGCCGCAGCCGGAGCGCATGCTCCTAATATCTAGCATTTGCGAGCAGCAAATGTTACGTCATGCAAAAGAAAGACAAAAAAGAACTACATTTCTCGTTTCTTTCCTACGTCAGCCAACGAGAAATGAGGCATGTTGTTTGCTTCTTTTTTGGTGCATGTTCCCGTGTCCCATGTTAGGTCTTCTGGTACCTTGGATGATGTGGCATTCGAAAAGATCTTCCCCACCAAGGCGGTGATGTCACCTAATATTATGGTGAGTCAGGACGTGGCTTTCTGTGCTTCGTTCCCGACTAGGATGCTGGGTCGAAGCAGTTTGTGTTGATCTGCAGTTGTGACGGCAACGCAGTGCTAGTAGGATGCTAGTAGGATGTTGTTGCTGGATGCTGAGCTCACGCTACAGATCATCTGATCACATCATGGCTGGAAATGCTTTGCATGGAGTGGGTGATTACATCATCACTTGAGATTAGTTGTATAGAGTTGCACTTGAAACACTCCTAACTCACCCAGAAAAAAGTCAGTGTGGCTTTCACTACGATGGTAAAATGAATGGTGACATGCAGGGTGGATGTCTGTTCTTCGTGAGGAAACATCTGGGTGCGCCTTGCATGTACATTCCAGTGCGGCTTCCACGCGAGAAAAAACTAGGGCTGAAACGACCATTCAATGACTCCTAACGATCAACCAACATCATTTACGATCGATATATTGGTTTTATCGATTGAAGAAATTCCACGATACCTTTGCTACGTTAGACGTTTGTGGCTGTGCACTGTTGACAACTGTAGACATCTGGACATGAACTAGAAATTTTCAATATTGTTTCTAGAGTGAATAATTTTGTCATCGCCCTCTGGCAACTGCTCTTACGTCCGACCTCTCCCACAAATGAACCGAAAGGACAAAGTCGTCTCTCCCAATCTCTTTCAAAGCCACAAATCAATTTTACTGCGCTTGCAAGTACAATACATAACAGTACTTGTATCCACTGTCGGATGGAGTGCAAGGGCTAGAATACTGTCACTGATATACATGCATGAAAAATCGTTAGCACTCGTTTTGAACACTGACCATTATCGATTGCACTCTTAACGATCGTATGCGAGTTATCGGTATCATTGTTTCAGTCCTAAAAAAATCATACTTTCACCAGTGACTTTCTCAGTACATATACTCGTTGTGAGTTTTATGCTCAATTGTACTCCTCTTACTGTTCAACCTCTGGTCTAGTTGGTGAACTCAGACTCATAACTTATGCCCTGTTTTGTTATTTGTTTTCCTCTTTTCTCCTCAACTTTTATATTCTACAGAAGACATTCTTACCGAGACAATTGGTGTACACGTCAACAGATGGTATGCCAATCTCGACCGAGGATATCTTGACCATTGTCCAAAACACGGAGTACGCGAACACTCGCGAGGAAATATCCATGGCCGACCGCGTGGTAAGTGTGGCGTAAAGTAGACCCGTCTGTTTGTCTGGATGCATGTCTGAATGCATGTATGTACGTATGCGTGTATGTACGTATGTATGTAGGTTGTATGAAAATAATTTTTATCTGTTTTTTTTGTAACGCTATTCCACTGCTTGAGACTTGCATCGACTTCAACACCCCCCCCCCCCCCCCATAATTAGGGCCTTATAATTAGCCCTTTTCCAAAGATGCTCACCACTTTTTTCGCAACTTTTTGAGTTGGTACGAGGTGGGCATCCGCACCTTCCACAAGCTCAGCTAGTGAGCGAGTGCAGGTGGCGGACTCTTCGACCACTTCCCCGTCGACAGCCAGAGGCTCGCAAGAGTTGGTATCATCACGGACATAACCCCCGTTCAGCCAAGAACCAGAGGAGTCAGAGGTCACGGACTCTCCAAGACTCAAGCATCCATGATCGCCCTCAAATTGTGACAGATCATCATTGTCTGTTACATTGTTCGGGCCACGTCTCTGGGCCACCTCACCCCGGACTCCCAACACTGCCTCGCGAAAAGTTTCCGCACATGAGCGTGTCAAATGGGCGCCCAGGCCTTTGGTAGACCCACAGGCGTGACCGCAAGCCCGACATTCGTAGGACATGTTCGCACTTCTGTCGCGTAGCTCAAGAAGTGTGTGCACCGCCTCGTGGTGTTCGGGTGCAAAGTCGCCCAACCCTGCCCTCGTCGCCCTCTTGTAGGTAGTGTCCCAAAAGTTACGAACCCGTCTGGATTCGAAGCCCGTTACCAGTGCGATTTCAGTTGCACACCTGCAGCCGTGCACCCCGATAGCGTCAAAGAAGGTCTTGCGATCCTCCTCCGACCACTGAGAACCCCGACCCACCCCTCTCTCAAGGGATGGGACCAGAGCTCCCTCGCGATGCGCGCTACGTTGGTGTTGCGCCCTTCCTCGCACTGTCGCGAACTCCTTGTCGCAGACAGGACAAACAATCGAACTCTCCTCCACGGGTGTGTCAGCCGCCACCCCCACAGCCTCCTTATCACAGGAATGGCCCTGCTTGAAGCAGGAAAACACTTCTCCGCACTTGGAACAGAAAAACTCTGCCACCAGCTTGGATCCATGCTTCAGTGAGTGATGACGCCCTAGACTCGGCCAGAGGTTGTACGCGCCTCCGCACACCGGACACTCAAAACGAGTACCAGCAACATCGACACGGAACGGCTCGGAATCACCCTCACCATTCCGCGCAGATCCCACACTTAACATCCCAGAATCACCTAGGCTGCCCAGTGTGGAGACAGTGTCAGACAGCTCGGAATCACCCTGACTGTACGAACCGTCATCTGCCACATCCTCCATCCCGTCTCCTTGACGTGTCCCTTACCCGACAGAGTTCACTGCCAGGTTGTAGCCGAAGCTACCACGTCTCCCCACCTGTTAGCGTGTCCGTATCCGATGGGATCAAGGGAATCCCCCCCTACTCAGACAAAAGCTTGCGCTACCACGCTAACGTTTCCAACCGATCAGCCTCAAATGACGTGTCCCTTACCCGACAGAGTTCACTGCCAGGTTGTAACCGAAGCTACCACGTCTCCCCACCAGTTAGTGTGTCCGTATCCGATGGGATCAAGGGAATCCCCCCCTACTCAGACAAAAGCTTACGCCACCACACTAACTTTTCCAACCAATCAGCCTCAAGTGACGTGTCCCTTACCCGACAGAGTTCACTGCCAGGTTGTAACCGAAGCTACCACGTCTCCCCACCTGTTAACGTGTCCGTATCCGATGGGATCAAGGGAATCCCCCCCTACTCAGACAAAGGCTTACGCCACCACGCTAACGTTTCGAACAGATCAAAGATGATCGCCACTGCCAAGTAATAGCCACCGCTCGTCGCGTGCACCAAACAGTCTAGTTCTTAGTCACACATGCACTCGAAAGTAGCGTATACGCGTAAGCGAGGTCGCAGGAGCGAAAAATGGCATGGCAACGGCGAAAAGCGGAACTTCAGCTTCAGCGGAAACTCCAATCCGCTTCCGCCAAAATTTCCGAAGCGAGACTGTCGCTTCTGCGGATTCGCTTCATTCTCCGTACTGTATGCACCACAGTCCACTTTACTCTCATTTTCCGCCAAAGTAGGAGTTTGCCCTGTTTGTATGTGTGACCATACACATGTGGTTTCGCTGGAGCGACACCAGGCTCGCTGCCGCCGAACCTCGTCGCCGAAGCGAATCCCAGGGCATGTGCATGTGCTAAGGAAGAAATCGCAACTTTCGCAACTTTCTTCATTTTCGCGAACTATCTTATATATATATATATATCTGTGCTGCGCTGACGAGTCCACAAAGGACGAAACAGTTCTGTCCGCAGATTGAGTATTTCGCTCCTGCTCTTGTAGCAGTTGAGCACTCTTGCGTGGGGTAGTGCCTTTGCTGTTTGCGTTATGCAGAGCTCACTGACTTGTCAGTTTGAGCACTCTGGCAAGGTACGTTCGGGCCTGATTGGAAATTTTTATTTCCATTGCTATCAGGCTCGGCCTCATTTCCTCTGTGCTGCGCTGACGAGTCCACAAAGGACGAAACAGTTCTGTCCGCAGATTGAGTATATATATATTTATATATTTATTACAACATCTCAAGACTCGGTGGAAACACCGGCCAATGTTAAAGAGAGTGGGTGATTGCCAACCACGGCGATAAATAAAAGTAAGGGGAGGGAAAAAGAAAGAGTAGCAAAATGAACAGCAACAACTCCGTAAAGAAAGAGAAAGATAATGTCAAATAAAAACAGTGAAAAATACAGAGACGCAAAGGACATGTGGATAATGAGCTATGCATGTCGTAGTAAATAAGGGGCGGCACGGATCTTAAACAGGCGGAGTGAGGTCAGGTCCTTAACTTCTCTGGGTAGAGTGAGCCAAACAGAACAAGCAATAAAGAGAGGGGAGCGCAAAAGAGTGGATGAGTTACACTTAGGGAGTAAGAGTGAGTTTCTAGTTCTTAGAGAAGAGAACCAATTAAAACACATGAGATGAGGTGGGCACAACTCAAGCTTAATAGAATGGACAAGAGAAGCCAGGTGTGCACTGCGTCCATGTGATAACGGGGTTGTGTGAGCGATTTTATAAAGGGCGGATGATGAGAGCATGCGGGGTTGACGGAGGAGAATTTTAAGGATTTTCTTGTGATGTATTTCAAGCTTTGCAGCAGCGGAAGAGGATAACCCAACCCAAGACGTATCTGCATAATGAAATATTGGGCGAAGGTAGGCGAAATAAAAAAGAAGCTTGCAAGAAAGTGGGAGGTAGGAGCAGTGGGAGGAAAGAATTCCTAAGGATTTACTTGGTTTTTTACAGATATATTCGATGTGAGGTCTTGCAACTTTTCCGCAACCTTCGCCCCTAGGCATGGGGTCAAAAGGTCAAGTCACAGAGCACATGTCGGACAAATGCATCCTCGCTCATTTCTCACCTGCCTTCAGACTCATTTCAGAGAAACAGTAGATCACTGGTAGTTAGGAAAATGTACATTCCATTTTCCGTGCACTGGAGTGATGTAGGATACCTGCAACAAGCTACTGGCACTGTGTCAAGTTGTGGTTCACAGCAGGAAGGGTTGTACGAGTTTGGCGTCGCAGCACTTCTCCTTTTTTGGTGGTTTTGCACAAGAACTCTCACCTTTTAAGTTGCGATGTCAGCAACTTTCGAGCTTTTTCTGAAATATGGATGCGGTTTCAGCAACTTGCACTTGTTTTGGCACGGTTGGGAAAAGCATAATATGCGAAAAATTATGGCATCTTAGTGGAAACAGGCTAGCATCAGGGCAGGCCGAAAATTTAATGCGCCGAAATGTGCTTTAGCCCCGGGAGGCCGAAATTTCAATGGGCCGAAATTTGTAGATTTACGGCTTGTTGTTCCTTCACACAACTTCATGTGATGTTTGTGTACCTTTGCCTTTCATCTCAGGTACTTTGGGAACTTCGAGACTGCGAGAACAACGTCATAGCGACAGCAGAAACATTCATTGAAATCGAACGTGTCAACGACAACCCACCTGTGGTGATATTCAACATTTCTCCAGGCATCGTGTGACGAGCAGAATATTAGCTAATGCCAATGATGTAAAATTCAAGAATTCGTAATATTTGTGGGCCGTGCTAACCGGCATCCACCTCTCTGCAGCATTTTACCTCGCTATTTTTGTTACTATTTATATGCAATGGACATAGTTAAATCGCTACTCGTGGAGTTCGTAAGCAGATACTTCGAAGTAGATTCTTTTTTTATTCTTTCAATAGCTATCTTTCTCTAATTTTCGCTTCCAGTCTCTCTCTCCCTCTCTCTCTCTCTCTCTCTCTCGCTCGCTCGCTCGCTCCCACTTCTGTCTCTCCTTTGCTCTCACCTCTCTCTCTCTCCCTCACTTTCTCCCCCTTTTTTCTCTCTCACTCTCTTTCACTCTCTCTCTCTCTCTCACTTTCTTTCCTAGAACCTCTTTCTTTCCTATTCCCATCTGACACTAGTTTCTCCTAGTCTAGTGCTGTCCACACTCGGCATCTCTTCTCGAACCAAACAATTCGAACCCTTCAACTATCTGGATTTTCCTACTCCCAGGTCGCTTATGCAGGTTTACATTGCAGCTTGTTTGACGTGATCTTGAAGTAATCACAAGTGTTTAATTTTGTACACTCCTCTCTTAAACCAGCACTCCCAAAGTTTTGGGAACTATTTTGACGACTGTCCTCCGAGGACAATAATTA